GTGATATATCTATTAGAAGGGGTGTAAGATCTTCGACCTACTGGGGGGCATCCAAAGGGGAATTTAAATTCTTTAAGATATAAAGCAGTATCTGTTTCTCAGTCAGAGCTTCAGAATTTGTCACAGTTGCAGTGTGTTTGGCCATGTCAGATACTGAGGTGCAGATGGCTCCCGGCAGGGTGGGAGGCAGGCAGCCTTATAGGACTGAACCCTTAATCTGTGGGATCTGGTGCTATCTCCTGGTAAATGGTGTCAGAGCTGAGTTGAATGGTCAGGCACCTAGCTGGTGTTGGAGAACTTCTTGGATGTGGAGAACCACCCTCATCCCACACGCGTTGGAATTGGCGTCCGTATCTCAAGTGCGCCCGTCCTGCTGAGAGGAGAGCAGACCAGTGGGTGTCCTCTCTGTGGGCAAGTAGAACAGAGATGGGGCCTGGGCTTTGCTCCACTCCTGCTCTGGGTCTGACCACAGGGGCAGTGGGGGAGAAGGGGAGTGTCTAAGGACAGGTCTCCTAGTTTTACCTTCTTGGAAGAAGAGTGGCAATTTCCTCATTTCTAAGGCAATAGAGGATTGGAGAATGTCGTCCCCATTCCAGTCCGTCTCCCCTCCCCTTCAATCAACAACAGAATGATCCCATGGGCTCCAGGGCAAAGACCCAAGAGCTATTTCCAGGCCCTCACTGAGCATGAAAGCAGGATAGGGTGCAGGATGTGGAGGCGGGGCAGAGATAAAGGCAGGCAGGACCCCCCTCAGACACTGGCTGGGCTCCCTATGTTCCAGGCCCACCCCTCTCCAAGGTGGGAGAGAGGGTAAAGGACCTGCTTTGGAACTGCTGGGAAATCCCTTCCGAGGGGGCAGTTGCGGGACAGAATGCTGCTTTCTTCCCCAGAAATACTGAACACAGGGGCTTCCTGACCCCCCGCCAAGCTGTTCCAGTCCCAAACACTCTGCCTGTGTGTCTCCTCTGTCCTAGGACCACGCAGCTGGACCTGCAGGTCAGCCACTGACTTAATGTTGAGTCCCTGAAGCAGCTTTGTTCCCTCAGCAGTGTCTACCCCCTGCTGCTGGGCAGCCCTCCATAGCCTGGGTCACTGGCTAGGACGCAAGAAGGGCTCCGGATGTACAGCAGGCAGTGGAGTGCCGTCAAAGAGCCAGATCTCCCGACTTGAAATCCCAGATTGGCTGTTTACTACCTGTGTGGCCTTGGATGAGTTACTTAACCTCTCTGTGCTTTAGTTTCTTCATAGGTACAACAGAGATAATATTAANAGGAGACTTGTAAAAGCCCCACAAAGGAAGGGCCTGGGCTTATTTAGGCCTGTCCTCCCTGCATTCTGGATGTCATCGCTGTGCTCTGTCAACCCTGAGGCTGGATATAACCGTGAAGACGGTGTGACTACTGTTATTATGGAAAAGAGCCACAGGGCCAGTCCCCGAAGATCTTTGAACAGGGCCCATCGGGAGAGGGCAGCCTGCCTCTGTGGGCTCCTCAGTTGCAGACATGGAGAGTGGGGGACCTCACTCAGCTCACAAAGTGTGGCTGGAGAGACCATGTGAGGAGGACGTGCCCCTCAAATGATTCTGCCAGAGTCCTGGGCACAAGCCCACAGCGTGGCGCTCCAGTGGGAGCCAGGTGTGGCAGGGAGACACGGGGACTTGGGGAACCAGCACGCCTGAGTGTGTGTGTTTACACGCAGGTGTGTATGGTGGTGGGGTTGTCTTTCAATATGACAAGAACCCACTGTGTATCAGGCAAAGGTGAACAAGGCATAGTGTCTGGCTTTTGGAAGCTTTCAATTTGATGGGTGTTTCGGAGGAGATGTCAAAATGAAGCTTTTCAAAGAGTGAGGCTCTGGGGCCTGGGACTCAGTCCTCCCACCGCCTACCTACCCTCCTCACGCTTGTAGCCCCCAAGAGGGTGGGTGGCCGATTTTTTCAATTACTTTCTAAACCTAGACAACATGCCTTGCTGGCTGTTCTGGAAGTTCTGCATTTATATCAACCATTAAATGTTGGTAGGATGAGAGAAACCAATTTCAGGACATCACTTCTCTCAGTTTTCCAAGGGAATTCCCAAATTATCCCTGCATCTGAGCTCCATAGGAAAGGTGAACATTGAAACAATATGGTGATCATGATAAGGGCTGGACCCTGCCCTCTAAGGTAAAGCTCAAGGCGTAGGGCTTGGTGCTTGGTAGGGCCCAGTCAGTAGTCCCCCTCTCCCACGGAAATTTCTCACCCAGGTCGCCCTTGGGAACTTTGGGTGTGAATCCTGAATTGACCCTGACCCAAGCAGGCAGCAAGTGACTGGGCCATGGGTGGGGTGTAGAACCTTCTGTGGAGCTGCTGCCCACACCTATGTCCCTGGGCATCTCCAACCCTCTCTAGCATCTGCTATGACAGGCTTCTGCTGCCATCTCCTGGTTAGCTGTTTAGTTCCTTCCAGGCTTCGAGCCCTGCCCTGAACTGCAGCTAGCCTGGTCCTCAACCCCAACCTGACTCTTCCTGATGTAGCGCTTGGCTGACATGGCTGTCTAGTTCCACCTGGATTCCAGCACTCGCCTACACATCAGGTTCTCCACCATGGTACTGTTGACATGTTGGGCCAGATAATTTGTAATTCTTTGTTGTTCATGTGCATTGTAGGGTGTTTAGCAGCATCCCTAGTCTCTACCCATTAGGTGCCAGGAATACCTCCTCCCCAAATTGTGATAAATAAAAATGTCTCCAGACATTGCCAAGTCTCCCCGGGGGGCAAAATCACCCCCAGAATGAGAACCACTGGACTAAATCAAGTATATGGACCACTCAGCTTCTCCCTTTGGGGGCGAGTCTCCCTCTGATTCGCTGCCCTACCTAACTCCACAACTTCATGCTCACTATTCCCTCCAGACTCTGCCTACAAATGCCGAGGCCCCCTACTCGTTGATGTAGTCATAGTTTCATTTCAGCTCTCACTGTTCACCTGTTCATAACAATCACAGTTACCATCAACTACCTCCTAGATGTCAGATACGGGCTTTAAAACAAACCTGACTGTATGTAGATAATTCCTATTATCATCCCCATTTACAGATAAGCATACAGAGGCTCAGAGTGGTTGGGTGAATTAGCCAAAGGCACACAGTCACTGAACCNATACTTCGAAGGTGGCCATAGTGATATTCAACAATGAGGTGTGTAGCATTTTTTCTAGGATGAGTTCACGAACTTAATTGTCAGCCCGCGTGTGTGTGCAAGCATGCATATATGCGTGTGTGTCTTAAATGTGACCAAATTAAAGTTGCCACCCTAATGTAAAATGCAGAAATAGACTCTAAATTGGCACATTGGACTCGGACCCCCTACTGCTGTCTGCAGAACCACAGTAGCAAATAAGACTCACATTGCACATTCCCAGGAACTAAGAGCAGAGAAATGTAATGAAACTTTAAGACACAAGATTGAAGGGCAGCATTTTAATATACAAACAGTCAAAAGCCAGGGTCTTGCTACTCCAAGTGTGGTGTGGCCTAGAATCACTGGCATCCCCCCGGGAGCTGGTTAGAAATGCAGATTCTCAGGCCCCCTCCCCTTCCCAGACCTACTGCATTCTCCAGGTGATGTCTGCACATCAAAGTTTGAGAAGCGCTGAGGTGGGACATTTATTAATGTAGGGTTTTGCTCTTCAAATGTGCTTTGAGGTCAAAATAAATCCATTTAGAGTATTTTCAGCTAATTACTTGCTCCATTCTCTCCACCTCTGAGCAACACGGTCACATGCCACTGTCCTTCTCTGGGACTTCCAGCCTCTCTTACTAATCCCAGTGGCAAACTTCTGTACACCACAGCTTTTATGGATTAAATGTGGATTCCACAACTTCCATCAGCTGTGCCTTACAGAGCATCCCCAGGAGGTAGGTTGTAAGATAATATCTGTTTTTAAAGACAATGAAACTGAGTCCCAGGGAAGTTTCCTGACTCAAGGGGCACCAAGCAAACTGGCCTCTCAGTCAAAATAAGAACTGGAGCTTTTGTGCTTCCAATGTGAGGCTCACAGTAGGTACTTGATGTCTTTCTTTTTTTATATAAGGTGATTTTGTGCATAAGAGACTTTAAGAAAGAAAAAATTTGTGGATAGCCCTGTGCGAGTTACTGCATATGAGCCATGCATATGTGGGCCCTGGGATTACGGAAGTTTAAAAAAGAACTGTCTAGTGGAGAGAGATGTTAGCCCAGGGCGGGCCCTGCTCTGCGGACTCCCACCCTCTGGCTGCGGTCTGTGGCCTCAGAAACCTTAAACGCAGAGGGCTCATAGTTTGCTCCTAAAGGTTATGAGGGGAAATAGGCTGAGATCACCATGAGGCCATGTATATGGCTATGGCAGAAATGTGGCTTCTGGATGACAATAACCCATCCCCAGGAGGACGCTCACTCAATTTATTTGCTTCTTTCAAAATAGCCTATGTAATTGGGCTCTGCCTAAATATATGTGGTGTGCTTTACTGGATTGGATTTCCTGGTGAACTCCAAGTTCCCTGGAGTAAAATGGAGCCACTCGATGACTTGGAAATGGTCAAGACTGTATAGCTGGCACTGAAGCCAGTCAACCCCAACTGAACAAGGGCTCCAAGTGGAGTTTGTTCAGTTTCACCTGCCTGCGCAGTGATTCTCCTAGGGTCTCCTAGAGAATGATTGCCAGGACAGGACGGCTGCTTAAATCTCCCCCCATCCTCTCAGACATGCATATCCAAGGCGACATATTCCTATATAATTGATTAAAAAAACAAAAAGATGACGCACTTTGAAATTCCATGTAAAAAGTATTGCTTTTCTAATGTGCTCCTGCCTGCCTGCTCGCTAAGCGGTGCTACAAAGGGTAGAGTCACGAGCAATTCCAGGCTGAAGATGTGTGTGTGTGGGATTTTAGATGACACCAATGCAACCCAGCACCTAGCACCCTGCTCTGCAGCCCGCATTGTTTGGGGGCTTGGCCTAAGGCAAAACTACAAAGCATCCTAGTGAGCAGAATTATACAACAGGAATGTGTGTGCATATTTGACATAGCTTCTTCTCTTGAGGGGAGGCCCTCTAGCTATGACCCATGCCCTCTCCAAGGGCGAGGGAGGCGTCCAGAGAAGAAGCCTTTTGTTCCGGGCTGCCAGTCCTTCCGCAGCCCCTATAGCCCCAGGGACCTGCCCTGCTCTGCGTGGGCCTGCAGAAGCCCTGCAATTTCCAAGTGGGCGGGTGTTTCCAGAACGATGGACAAAGCTGTTTGGCCAGCCTACAAGGGAGACAGAAAAGGAGAAACAAATGTTATGCCATCTGAATCTCCTCTTCTCCTGGGGTCTCTGGGTGCTTGGAATAGACTGTGATGCCCCATGCACACCCCCTACTCCCAACGCCCCCTTCCTCTCTGGGATGGGAAGCAAACAGGATGACGGTGTGATGATTGTTATTATGGGTCTCCATCCACAGAAACAACGGTCACTCCTGGGAAACTCGTGTCAATAGAAATAAAAAAATGTCACTCGGTTTTTAAATATATATTTTTTTAAATTGAAAAACAGGAAAGAAAATACAATAACTCTCCCATTATTCCATTACGCAGATGTAAGTGAAAGCTAGCATTTTGGTATGTCTCCCTCCAGTCTTTTCTTCTATGCAAATTAATTGTTGGTTGTTAAATAGAGGAATGATGTATATCAGTGTTAAACCTGCTTTCATTTTGAACTTACCATACATGGTCTGCTGTAAGATTTTTCCCCCCGTTCTTACAGTGATCATAGCATATAACTTTTCTTATTGGCTGTATAATAGTCCATAACTTACTGAAGTATTTTGCTTCTGGTGGGGACTTACGTTGTTTCCAAGTCTTCATCCTCATAAACTTTGTGCCAAAAACATTTTCCCATTTCTAACTATTTTCNTATTGAACTTAATGAAGACCCCCAAATACCTACTTTCCCATTTGTCAGCCTTGGCAGTACTGGTCTCTCTGCCTGGCACACTTTCACTTTCCTTCACTTTTTTTTTTTTTAAAGATTTTATTGGAGAATTGGGGGTGGGGAAGAGTGTTGGGGAATTGGGGAAGGGGAACAGACAAGTTGCTGTCCTTTTGTTCTTCAGTCTAGTTGTGGAGACGTCGTTTCACTGGCCCATGTTGGTATTATCTTCCCGGATGAGGCAGTCGCTTGCCAGCCATTGGACGGCCGTTCACGGTGGCTCACAGCAGCTGCCGGACACTCACGGTAGCTTATGGCAGCCCACTGTCTCCCCACTGCAGCCTACGCCATCACTGGTGACTCACGGCAGCCCTGCTCCAGGTCGAACTATTGTTCACCATCTTACCTGTAGAGGGCAGTGTCACTGACCCTCATGTGGGATCCGATCCGGGGCCCTGCTGCTCAGAGCTGGCATCCCAAGCCAATTCTTAACCAACGTGCTGCTCGGCTGGCCCTCACTTTTCCTCACTTCTTACTCCCCTTCCTTTTCTGGCTGACATCCATTAATCTTTGTTTTCAGTTCGGATACCTCTTCTTCCAGGAAGCCTCCCTTGACTTCCTAAGATTAGCTCTGGTGCCCTGTAGTGTTCTGGGCTTCCTTCTCACCATTCTGTTTTCCCAAGTAGATGGTGAGATGACAGTCTGACCTGTGTCACTATGATCTCTCGTGCAAGCCCGGTGCCTGCACATGGTGAGCACTCCAGAAATATTTGTGGAATGAACTGTTTCCTGGTCTAATTCCTTACTGTTGGCACATATGTTCTGTCTTCCAAAGTAGATTGTACACTGCATAAAGGCAGTGAGGGGAGCTAAAATACCTGTGAGTCTCTCCCCAGGCCTGAGTTTAATACCTGTCCCCAGTAAGCCTGATATATGTTGCTTGGAGGCTGTGCATTCAGGCACTTGACAAATGTGTTAATCAGTGGAGCCTTGGCTTAAGGTCCTGGAAAACCCGGGTTTGGGATCACGGTAACCTTAGGTACTATTTTTGTAGAGGAGGCCAAAGATGCTTTCTCAAAGCCAGAGCTGGAAACAGTGTCAGGAACTTGGCTGCTTTTAATAGCTATTTGTTGAATTAATTGTAGCGCCAAGAAACAATGACAGGGAGGCAGGCTGTACTTGTTCATCTCACCATGTTCCGGGTTCAGACATTCCAATAGAATGGGATGGTTGTAAGGGATGAGATCGTTGTTCATGTGCCACTCAAGATTTAAAAAAAAAACTTACTAGAAATCTCAGAAAGGATGGACAAAGTCTCTTTGATAATGACACAATGGCTTCTCTGGTAAATAAACTGTTTTCAATAGCTGGACACAAATGAAATACACACACACACACACACACACACACACGGTGTGACAATTAAGTTTGTGAACTTGTTGCAATGATGTTGCTAACCCTTTTTTATATCATAGGGATTATTCATTATGAATTTTATAAATTTGTACCAACTGGACAAACAGTTAACCAAGTTTACTATTTGGAATTGATGAAAAGGCTGCATGAAAAAGTTAGACAACCTGAACNGTCAGCCACTGACTTAATGTTGAGTCCCTGAAGCAGCTTTGTTCCCTCAGCAGTGTCTACCCCCTGCTGCTGGGCAGCCCTCCATAGCCTGGGTCACTGGCTAGGACGCAAGAAGGGCTCCGGATGTACAGCAGGCAGTGGAGTGCCGTCAAAGAGCCAGATCTCCCGACTTGAAATCCCAGATTGGCTGTTTACTACCTGTGTGGCCTTGGATGAGTTACTTAACCTCTCTGTGCTTTAGTTTCTTCATAGGTACAACAGAGATAATATTAATACCTACCTCACTGGGTTATTGTGAAGAGTGAATGATTTCATACCACACCCTTAACTAGACTGATGGCTGGGTAGTTCGTTCTAAGTACTCAGTGCAGGCAAGCTGCTGTTTTTATGGGGCCAGGTCTAGAAAAAACGATCAGATGACTAGAGGAAAGGGGACGTGCTCTACTTGGTCCTGAGCTCGGTTATCCAGGCCAAGCACTATGTGGATACCTAATCTCATTAACTGCTTACAAGAACAAAGGAGAGGAACTATAATATTATCCCCTAGTTTAAAAGCCTCAGTGGCCACATGGTCCAGCTGGGATTCAATGGTCCATCTGAGGTAGCCTACTGCAGACTCCATGTCCGTGGTGACCTCCCACCAAGCTACACAACCCGGGGGGGGGGGGGGGAGAAAACAAGCTTACGGGTATTTATGGAATTGAAGGGTGGGTGTCCATTGGGACTTAGGGAAGGAATAAGAATTGCTTTGGTGATGCCAGAAAGTATGCTTCAGTCTCCTTGGCTGAAGATTCACTTTTGCTCCTCGGTGTACAAGGCTGAACTGGCCACTCGTGGCTTCTGAGATCTCCCAGACACTCAGAAGGAGAATGAATCCCTCTTCTTCTAAATCCCAGCTCCAGAATTCCTTGGAGAGGGCCTGCTTGGCCCAGGTAATGTACAGTGTCTATTGTTCAATGGCCAGGGACCAAGTTTTCTGGTTAGGAATGTGGCACCTCCTGCTGTGGTCATATAGCCGGTGAGGGGTACTGGGAAGGGGGAGTTTCCTGGGAAGGGAGGGCCTGGGAGACAGTCCACAGGTATCTATTCCATAGGCTTCTTCTTCTCTCCCCCCCCCGCCCCCACCCCATCATTTCTCTTCTCATGGCTGCTCCTTGCTCATATTATCAACCTGTCTTTCACCTCTACGTATGCAAATTCTTCCTCTCTTTCCATGCCTAGTCACTCCTCTTCATGACTTCTCATAACCTACTGCTACTGCCTGAAACTCTGCATGTTTCCACATTCAAATTTCTCAGCTAATTCAAATGGTTTAAAACGCCCCCGTTTCCACACCAGGCCAGCTCAAAGGCACTGTCTTGTTTAACGACTGACTACCTGTGCTGCTGAGCCTGTATTCAGCGCTGTGGGCTGGGCAACTCCACTGTGGGCATGGAACAGGGGCTTACACTGAGGGAATATGAAAGGCTGCTCCCTCTGAAAGCCTTCCCAAACTTTTCCTTTCTTAAACCCACTAACTGTAGCATTAGACCCTCGAGACTGCCATGGAATGCTGAATGCGTTTGTCCAACTCCTACTGCCACAGAAATCTAAATGTACAATGGTTCGAACAAATTAGAAGATTATTTCCTGATTACATATCAAATGGGAAATAAACAGTCCAGAGCAGAATTGATGGGTTTATGGTGTTGGGGGCCTAAGCTTTTTCTTTCTTTTTTTTTTTTAATTGGGGAACAGTGTGTTTCTTCAGGACCCATCAGCTCCAAGCAAGTAGTTGCTTCAATCCAGTTGTGGAGGGCACATCTCAGTGGCCCATGTGGGGATTGAACCGGAAATCTTGGTGTTATGAACACTGCGCTCTGACCAACTGAGCTAACCGGCCGCCCCCCTAAGCTCTTTCTGACTTGTCAGGTGTCGGCTGCATCTTCATGGATCAAAAGAGATTATTACCACATTCTGGCCAGTGGGGAGGGGGAAATGCATTTCTCTTTCTTTTGAACACAGGAGCCAGAGTTTGCACACTTCCCTTCACTCCTATCTCATTAGCTAGAACTTAGTTACGTGGCCACATCAAACTGTAAGGGTGGCTGGGAGATGAAGTCGGTATTCTGAGTGGCCATGTGTCCAGCTAAAATTTGGGGATTCTCTTACTAAGAAGAAAGGGAAGGATGGATATTGAGGACAATGGCATCACCATTTTCCTGTCGTTCATTTTGACCCTTCTCTACCATCTGGTTTGTCATCGCATCCTGGCACATCCTCATTTCTGATACCTTCCCCATTGGGCTCTCTCCTTCCCCTCACTGACGCCGTCATGGGAAGGGCCCTGACTGCTTTATACCCAGTATCACAATAGAACCTCCGAATTGCTCCCCTTGCCTCCAGTCTGTCTCCAGCCTAAAGTGCAAATCTGATCATCTGGCTCCATTGTTTAGAAATTCTTCAATGGCGCCTCACTGCCATAGTAGTGAGATTTTAACTGCAGATTTCTGAATTCCTGAAATTACATGCAGATTTTGCAGATTTATGTGCATTTTTCTGAAGAGACCTTCAGGTTCTCAAAGGCATCTCTGACTCCCCCCCCTTCAAATTATAGGCTTAA